CTAAAAGTGTGCACCATCTTTTGAGTCAAATTCTTGCATTTGGGCTGTTACCAAGCAAATGAAATCAGTATCAACAAAATTCATCTTTGCAATACAGACCTAAGCTGCATCTGAAGTGGCATTTAGATGTATTTACACACTGTTTAATGCAGGACATGAATACTTTAACCTGCAGTTACAAATGCATAAATAATGTTTTGATATATTAAACATAAAACGTTGAATACTGATATTTGAAATTATTTAAAATAAAAAGATACTTTAAATGTGAAATTAAAACCGCCAGTAGGTGGCAGCAAGTCACTGTTAATAAGTGATTCATTGCGACTGAACCAAATCATTTTAAGCGGTTGATTCATTCAGGAACAAAATGTCATGTTGCTCAAAGACGCAAAACAGCGCCGTGGCTTTGTTTGGAATTAATTTTGTTGGCGAAATGGAGCAAAAACAGGCAATATGGTGTCTAAAACGTAAGTCTCTTAATAAAACTTCTAGTTTATTGAACTGTTGTAAAAAATCAATATCACATTTGTATATGGTAATTTTTGGAGAAAAAAAAGGCACTCTTCCGTGTGAAATTGATTAACTATATGAAGTGGTATAAATATACACATTTTCTGCCCCCATGTCTTGAATTTGTGATCATTCTGAATGTATTTTAATAGACTGAATCATGCAGTGAAAGAGCGCACTCTAAATGTGCACGCGCATTAGACTAATGCGTGCACTCTGTAGGTGTTATGAATGTTTTTTTGCATCGTGAGAATATTGAGCAATAGCTCACTCACTTGTTATGGTGTTACTTAACTATATCATGTTATAAATAAACTAAACATTTAGAATTTTTACCTCAGTGTGTTTCTTCTAGAATTTAAGACATTAAGACTTTTTAAGGCCTTATATTAGGAAAATGTTATTTTCACGTCTCGCGCACTTTAATGCCCTTTGAATGTAACGTGTACGTTCCCTTGGAACTGGAATCATGGCGGAATTTCATTTTTAGTCCACTTCGCAGGGCACTTACGGTCGAATAAGACCACGCTTGAATGCTGCTGCCTGAACAAGAGACCTCCTTACTGAAGTGAAAGTGTTGACTGGTGTCACTATCTCGCGAACGCGCCGGCGGATCTCCACCAAATTCGGGGGATCCCTTCAGCTCGAGGAGCCCTCTCGAACGCCACACTCCACGTGTCGGTAGCTCCCCGGGATCGCTTAATCGGTCAGCACCGGACCGCGAATTTAACCACCCCTAACTCCCGAACCCCGGGGGCTATTGACGCGGGGGTGGTCTCATTCGAAAGTGGGCCTCTAGTCGTACACTCGATTCGCGTTCGAGAGGGTTCCTCGAGAAAAAGGGATCCACCGAATTTGGTGCGGATTTGCCGCGCCGTCACGGAGATATGGCCGTTCAAAGTTTCAATAGTTTTCCATAGACTAAGCTTTAAAGCATTTCATCCAGGTCGCCAGTAGCAAACAATGGAGCGCGCTCTGCTGGACAAACTAAGTAATTACACCATTTCAAGCATTTTATCCGTGTTATATGTTCTGTAAAAAAACAAATTTCATATCGGCGGCATATCGCCCGATACCGATATATCGGCAACAGGCTCATATCAGGCTAAAATAATACATGATAAAGATTTATGGTGAAGTTAGTTACTTAGGGAGAGTATATCCCAATTTCATTTTATATAGAATAACTTTTATGTCACACCATATGACAATTTTAGGCACAAATGCAACAAATTGGTAAATAAATCCAATTTCCAATACAAAATCTAAAAGACCACATATTTTTTGGGAAATTCAAGAGTCAGTACAACACAGCTCAAGTTTTTTATGCCTAATATTTGAAGTTTAAAAAAAAATAAATTTCAGGCTTATATGTAGGGCTGCAACAACTAATCGATAAAATCGATTATTATCGATTATGAAAATCATCGACAACGATTCTCATTATCGATTAATCAGGTCTGCCCACAGTGCACGTCCAACGGAGTTAGTTTACTTATCCAACTTCAGCCGGTCGCGTCAAATGAAATTTGATTTGAATACTGAATTTTACTTATTTCTATGGACAAAATGCATCTAAAATAGTGGAGGAAACAGAATGAGATGCTGCAGGAGAGTTACGTGATCCAAGCTACCCAAAACATGAGAATTCTTTATTTTAAGCTTTAAGCTAATGCATTAGCGTAATGGCTTGCCCTGTCAGGCGCTTTAACAGATGCGTGTGCGTCCTCAGCGCAAAAAAAACTTTCAGTTAACGGTAGGGGTGGGAAAAATAATCGTTTTTTCGATGCATCGTTGTTCCGCAATAAACTATTCTGAATCGATGCAGAGATTTAAATAATCGATGTCTTGAGTTTAAATGAAAAAAAGTCAGATTTGTGCTCGTTTGCAATACATTCTATCGGAATTTGTCGGCCCCACGGTCACAGAGATGAGCGTATGCGCTACTAGCACATTTACGTACGTTTCTTACGTCAGACGTAGTACGTCTGCGTTCGCTGAGGCGCTAGTACGTGACAAAATGGCCGAAGCTACACACATTAGAGCGGCACCTGCAACGTTAAAAGCCGACGTTTGGAAGCATTTTGGTTTTTTAGAAACCGAGAAAGACGGCAAACGGACACTTGATAAAAGCTACACTATGTGTAGGATGTGTGAGGTGAAAATAAAATATTTTGGCAACACAACAAACATGAGGAATCACCTTCAACGCTGCCACGCAGATGTGAACGCAGAAGGACCCGTTGTTGCTGCTAACCAAACAACTCTTCCAGCTTCAATATTAACCACTCTTCCTGCAAACTAGCAAAAGGCAAGGAAAATAACAAAATCCATTGCCGTGTACATTGCATCGGATTTGCGCCCTTACGCCGTGGTGGAAGGAAGGGGGTTTCGTGCAATGATGCATACAATGGATCCACGGTATAAAATCCCCTCACGTCGTTTTTTCGCAGAGACAGTAATACCAAATCTGTACCAAAGCACCAAAACAACAGTACTGGAGTCGCTGAAAAAAGCAGGTAAAATAGCATTGACTTGTGATGCCTGGACATCTGTTGCTACGGATTCGTACATCACTGTAACAGCCCATTATATCTCGGATGACTGGCGGTTGTTGTCCCATGTTTTGCAAACTAGGGCTGTCTACGAGAGTCACACAGGCGCTAATATAGCTGACCTAATACAAAATGTCGCTGAGGAATGGCAGTTTTCCACGAGAGACTTGGTGTTAGTGACCGACAACGCATCAAACATGGTTGTTGCTGCTCAGCTGGGGGGATTTGTGCATGTGCGATTGCACTTTTATGCATCAAAATGCACATGTTACCGTAAAGCAGATTGCTAACCTACTTTTTTGAACAAGTGTTATTTTATAAGAAGTTGCAGACAGACTAATGCTGTCAGTTTTCTATTTGTTACAGCAAATACTGCTACTGGCACTTTTTGAATATTGCACTTGCACACTGTTAATAAAGTAATAGTGTGAAATATCTTTTTTGCTTCACCCTTGAGTTCTGTGGTTGTTTAAAAAGTAGTAGAATTTTACATAGATGGTACAACATTGTGATGCATCGTTAATCGTAATCGAATCGTGGGCCTCTAAATCGTAATCGAATCGAATCGTAAGATACCCATAGATTCCCACCCCTAGTTAACGGTCATATCCTTATGTATAAATGTCACAAATTCACGTGAGCATTTCCATTTTTGCATAAAGATCCGTCCTGACAGTCTGTGTTAAATTTTAATCTTTACTAAATGAGTGCACGCGCGTCAGACAGACGGAAAACATAGACAATTAATAATCAGCGCAAAAACATTTATTGTGCTGAAATATCTGTTGTTGAAAGTTAAATTAAGTAAATTTTTTAAGTTAGGAGCACAAGTGCTCCTAAAAAGAAAAGTAAGCGTCGAGCCCTGAAGTTGCGTATACATTCACATAAAATTACCCTGTGTCAAAAACCCTTCACGGCATTGTCATTCTCTGTGCTTTAAATATTTTTTTTTCTTGCTTATCCGAAAAAATAGTCTGGTCTGTGACTCAAAAAAAAAAAACCTCAATATAATGCAGTGAACCACTATATAATGCTATTATAATACTATATAATAGCCTAATACTATATAATAGCCTAATATATATTTTGTTTTTTTTGTTTGGAGCCCTGAATAGCCTAGTAGCCAGGACAACTCCTTTATATTTCAGATCATTTTTAACCAAAAAAAGTTACGGACTGCAGCTTTAACGAAAATGCAATTGAAGCGTCTTAAGTGTAAGTGTCAATACATTTAAGAAAAATAAAAGGCATTTAAATCACCATTTTTTGCTTCCCTTTTGCTGCACGTTTGGCTCAGAATGCATTCTGAAATTCACACTGTATTTTGCTACAATTATCACGCGGTATCACGATGAAAATGCAATCTCATGTGTCCTACCCGTAAATCCAAATGCATTTAGAAAAAATGTAATTTAAATGATCATTTTGCTACAGTTTTTGCTTGGACATGTTAAACATACCTAATCAGTTTGGGTAATATGATTTCATTTTAATTTTACAACTTATAAAGTGTAAAAATATGTTTTTAATTTACATATTAAAACTAATGTAGAAAATAGCAAATGTAAATTATATAATTGAATGAATTTTCATTTTGCACTAAATGTTGCACATATGCATGGGAAAATGTACATTTAAATACAGTAATACTCTGCCATTTTATATATTGCATTGTCATGTTGCATATTACATTTTAAAATGAATTTTGCTACCCATATGCTTCCATAAGAATTTACCTGAGAAGAATGCGATGCGGAGTCAGACCCCAGAGGATTAAAGCTTTATGCCACAAACAGTCATTAAAGTTGAATGAAGAATAAAAACCAACCTCCTTGTTCCTCGTGTTTTATTCTCTGGGTTTCTGGTTCCTCGTGTTTTATTCTCCAGGTTTCTGGTTCACTCGTGTTCTCCTCGCTCTCCTCTTTAACAAACATCATCTTCACAGCAGCAGATCTCAGTTCAGATGATACTCCTCCAGATATTCCTGCTTGCTTCAAAACTTAGTCACGACTGTGAGGATGAGAATATTACATGTATTTATTGAACAGATTCAAAAACTGTATTTTCTACTTACAGAAACAACATTTCTAGCAGTTTGTAATAAACCAGCATCACGACGACAAAACAACAGAGAGCGCGGTGAACCTAAACGTCTTCCTCTGAGGTTTAATGGTGTTTGGCAAACAAACGTATGTGTTTAGCGCCACCCGCTGGACTGGAGTGTGAAGCGGCGAGAGGAGGCAAGGCAAGGCAAGGCAAGTTTATTTGTATAGCACATTTCATACACAATGGTAATTCAAAGTGCTTTACATAAAAGAAAAGAAAAAAAAATAATCACAACAATAAAACAAGGACCCAGAGAGTTTTTTGTTTTAGTGTTTGTGCCAAAAATATGTTGTTTGAGCACTGTGCTGATCTGCTGAAGTAAAAATCTTAGAAAAATCAAAGAAAAGTACAGAAATAGGGAGCAAAGCGCAGAGCAGTAAGCAAGAACGTCCGAACGGTAGCGAAGCCGGAAGCTTAGGAAAATAATAACGGGAAAATGTACTTAGTGTATGTAAGGCGCGCTGATTTGTTTTCCCTACAAAAGCCGATCTGCACAAATAAATTAAAAGAAATTAAAATTATAGACTCGCGTGGTATTTGATCAGCATCAACAGTCTTCGTGAGCGAGGATTAGAGAAAAACGAGGAAATTTATTAGTAAAATATTTCAATGAAAATCACACAAAGTTGCAGCATGTAAATATGGAAATTAAGATAAATGAAAACACATGATAATGATAAGATGTAGCCTTATGAAAAAACGAACTAAATCAAAAATATTACACAGGATTAGCATGAAAAACAACATTGTGTCTATCTAAATATCTGAAACTTAAACAGTTGAATGACAGGGGAATTCCATATCCACAAAATAAGATATTTTGAAGATGTTTCTGAAAAGCTGCTTTTGAGGATTAAACTTGATATTGAAATTGATATTGCAAAAAAATTTACAAGAAGTTGTCAGACCCAAATTCAGAGCCATAACTTTATTGTGTTATTAATTTTATATTAGCACCAAAGTAATTTTTATTTGGTGCTGAAGAAATGTAAAATCTGGGTACCGTAATCATACATTAATGGACAGAGTTAATCCTATTTAATATTACATATGATTGTTAATGTGCTCAGACTATTTTTTTATTATGAATTAAACTTGCTAATTAGCACATTATTAGGAAAGGCGCATCCTATGACCCCTTTAAAACCACTAAATCCTAATGGAAAGTGTCCCAAAACACACTAGAGAAAACCATTTTTTAAAAGATGGTTTGTAATGTTTGTAATGGTATTTGTAGTGGAAACCATTAGAATTTCTGTGGTTTCTATTGTCTTGTTTTTTTGTTTTTCCAGCAGGGTTATACTGGGTCATTGGTGTGCGGGATGATTACTGGCGTACAGCAGGGTGATCACATCGGAGTAAAGAGGTTAAGGAAATATTATACTAGCGTTATGGGAACGTTAAATTAACATTTAAAATAGCATTATAATAAGGTTATACAAACCAAAAACTAAAGTTTTATTTCCATTAAGAAGACTTTCCTGGCCAACCAAACAAAAACCATAAAAAAATATTGTATCGGGAACCAAAAACGAACGTTCTGGGAACAAAAATTGTTGTCTGGGAGTAGACTTTTAGATATATTCATGAAATTACAAGTACCTGAAAAATCAGCTTAATTACAGTAACGCGAGTAGTTGTAATTCGTTACCTCCATCACTGTGGTTATCCTAATAATTAACTACTTCTGCATATCTATCATGTTAGTGCTTGGTGTAAATGAATAATAATAGATTACTTTGGTCACATGGACACACACACGGTGGCCATTCTGAAGTACTCAAAACTGCAAGCGCACCTGAAGTGAGCCATTTGAGACAGGGCAGAACAACTTTTGACTTTTCACTTCAGATCACAAACAAAGGAACACACAAAAGCACACAAAATTGCTCAGGTATCAATAAATTCATTATATTTTCCTCACATGCTCGCTGCGGCTGCACTTAACGTTTATTCCAGTAGGAAAACACCTGAAAATACACACATGTAGCACTGAACCAGATGAAAACAACACAGAAAAGAGCCTGTAAAATGCTACTTAAACAAACCGTGTAAAACGTGTTTGATGCTTGTGTAAATATGTGAAATACTGTGAACTGTTGGCCTCACATCAGAAGACTCGACGCTGACTGAATTAACGCATGCTAGTGATGACGTCATCAACGGCAGATCATCAAAAAATTATATTTAAAACAACAAAACATCTGTAAAACAACACATCAAACAAAAATAAGGGTTACTAACAGACAACGGTCTCATTCAATCTCAGTCATATGTGCAGTAAAATATAGTTTATCAGGCAATTAAAAAAAATGCACTAAATGTGGCATGTCAATGTGCAAGACTACATCTGGTCACTAATCACTACTGCCACTTATTCCATTTCAGTTTGTACTTTTTGTATATACTTACTGTTTCATATCAATGTAGAGGTCAATGTGCAGTACTGTCAATGATCACTTTACTCAGATTGTCAATGTGTAACAGTCACTTGTTGTATATACCTTTATTATTATACTGTACAGTCTATGGTCTTATATATTGTCTGTGGTTATATGTTTGTTTTCTAACACCAGAAAAATACAATGACAATAAAGGCTTTCAGTTTAATTCAATTCAATAGCTTTATTGAGAAATTGAGAAATTTAAAACAAAGCCCAAACAGCAAACATTTGCCTAATGCAAATACAATCAGCAGACAATAAAAGTGGTTGATAAAATATATATAATATATAATATAAATATAAAATATAATATATATAATATATAAAAGGTAAAGATAATGTTTAAATAAAAAGGTACCATTTAATTAATAATTACTCAAAGCAAAAGTGATCAATAATTACTGAAAGTAAAAGTGAAAACTAATGAGAAAGGATCTCTCTCCTACTGACTTACAAGTAGGGACGAGTATCGTTAAGGTTTTAACGGTATTACTATTCTTACGATACTGCACATCAGTCTGGTTCTTTAACAGTACACTTTTTTTTACCTTTTTTTTTTTCAATGAAAAAAAAACTGAATGGCTTTTTATTCTGAAATGTAAATATCTATAGCAAATAAACAGCATGTTTGAACAAATTACTATTATAAAAAATAAATGAATATAAAACATCTATTTGTAAATGCACACATATGAAAGCATTTTTAGTGTTTAAGATTTATATTTTTAAAAGTTTATATAATTTTGATACTAAAGCAAAAACTAGGCTATACTAGGCTGGCTGACAGTAGTATTCAGGTAAATAATAGCCTACAAAAGAAGCTGAATAAAATGTAAAATAACACTGCATAGTCTTCACTGTATAGACTGATGGATTAATGCTTATTAAAACTACTAAAGGTATTCAGTCAAGAGCACATATTGGACTTTCTCTTTTTCTTTTGTTGTATTATTATCATTAATGATACGGATGGCTACAGGTTTATTATGCTGCTGTCACTTTAAGAACTAATGCGTGGATCCAATATATTGACACATCAGATTTTCTCCAATAATGGCTTTACCTTAAAGCCAAACTCGAAATTGAAAATAAAATAAGATTAATCACACAGCCCTAAAGTGCAAGAGAGATCTTGCTTTTGGATTGCAAATAATGAAAACACATTATAGACAAATGTTGCATATACAAACGGTTGGAAAGATACAATAACCTTGATATCTTTTATGTAGCAATAATAAATTGTAAGTGGTTTTTCTTAGTTTCTCCAGTACCGAAAGCAGAACCGATCACGTCAGAGCTTATCGATACTATGGTCTTTCATCATTTAACCCCAGGGCTCGATTAATACTGGGCAGGGGCGTGGGGAAGATGTTTTCGGTTGGGGGTGCTGTGTGTGTCCGTGTTGGGTGAGGGGGGGGTCACATCATTTGACAACTCCACAAAGCACTACAAGCGCGTCGATATGAACACTCATTTAAGTGGCATACATACTGGGAAACTTGACTGCATATCACATTTTTTAAATTATCAATAGTAGCTGATCAATCTCGAGGGTTGGGCTGGGCCCGCTAGGCTTACTTTTCTCCGTTCTCGTGTTGGGTCTGGTTCCGTTGCGCGTCTCTGTGCTCGTGCTGGTGTTGTGGATGCCGATTTTGGAAAGTTTTTGCTGGGATGGGCATTTAAAAAAAATCTGAAATTCGCTTTTGCGCCATTATCTCTTTGTATTAAAGTTAATCTTGTTCGCATTCTGTATAGTTCATGTCTGATACCGCGTGCCAGCGTCACGTGTTCATGAGGATTATGATAGGCTAATCCCATATAGAAAACACCACAAGTAAAATGAATCATGTGTATAACGATAAACATGTTTTTTATTATAGCCCACTTACACATTTACATTTCAGAGATTATTACAAATAAATTATTAAATGCTAAAACTGAATAAATTTTAATTAACAAACTTGCCGATCCCTTAACAACCATCATTAAAGATTATTGTGCTGCAGCCCCCCCAGCACCCCTACTTCCCGCGTCCCTGATACTGGGTTCAGGTATTCATCCCTACTTACAAGAGAAGCACAGAAGGATCAGTTGCAAAGCTCGTAAAAATACCTGAATTCTCTAAATTCTCAACTCTGTTGTGTGAACTGTCAGGTGTTTCTTCAGAATTGAAGCCCTCAAAAATGTTTTGCCGCCCGCATTGTTCACATGCGTGCAGTTTCTCTCCAGTGTGGATGTTCATGAGTTTCTTAAAGCTTGATGATTGTGTGAAACTCTTCCCACACTCTCCTTGTTTTCTTCAATCAACTCTGAAATAAAAGTAAAAATGGTTCATTTTCTGTAACTCCTAAAAAAGCAGAGAAATGTGGACATAAAAAGGAACCCTGATAACAGAGTAAACTAGATAATTATAATAAAAAATGTTGGTCATTTTGACGAATTTTTATAAATTATACGTCCCTGAAATTTTTCCATGTGTGTGTTCCGGAGCACTTCTCTCTCGCTCAGACACTGTTACAAATGAGGCTCCCGCACTATGTCTCTCGCACCACCAGAGGGAGCCTTCACCCGAGTATTAACCACTTCATTCGGACTCAATTTCCCATCAGCCTTCATACCTGGAACTGATCACCCTGCACCTGTCTTAAATTATCTCACACACTCACACACCTATTTAAGGCACTCTTATCTGCTCTTCAGTGCAAAGTCTTGATTTGCCCCGGTGATCATTTCTGAGCGGTTCCTGTTATTCTGCCTGCCTGTGTATTGACCTGGACTGTTTATCTCGTTTTCTGATTCTTGCTGCCAGCCCTGACCCATTTAGCCTGTTTATCTACTGTGTTTGCTCGCCGTCTGCCCCGATTCTCTGCCCGTTCTCTGGATTACATCTACTGTTGGTTATCCTATTCTACTACTGTTTACTGCCCTGCCTTGTACTGCTTTTGTCTAATAAACTGCAGATGGATCATCAAGCTACTGACTCGTCACAGATGCATAGCAACTCCAGGTTAAGGCTAAAGTAGCTTAATGTTTAGCCTACAATAACTACACACATAAAGCAATTGACACTTTTCCTTTAATTTTCACTTTATTCACTTTATTATGCGCCAGAAAAAAGAGGGGAAATGTGCAAAAGATCACTCATCTCACTAAAATAGGCTAATATTATCACTAATGTTATGCTATTTTGCTTGCCCATTATTACACATAGTACAACAACATCATTTTAACTGTCCAAATTCAAAAGGAATAAAAAGTGCTGTGATTTATTGTATTTTTAAATTTATTTGCCTGAATTTGTTAAAGTTGATGTAAAATTAATTTCATTTAGAGGTGACAGAACGGTTCGCGCAGGACTCCACACAAGCTAGACCTGCCAATGTGTGCCATTATTCTTCTACAGTATTATACAGAACTGACCAGCAGCTGCAGTGATTAAGAAACGCTCTTGATGTGTGATTCAGTTGCAAATGAAAGAAAAGGCATTTTGTGACTTTTCTTAAATCATTGACAAAACATTGACCAAATTTGATTTCTTGATTATTTTATATTTTATAATAGTGATTTTATAAATTCAAAATATGAAGCAAAAAGTAAAAATGAATGACTAATAAGCCAATAACTGCTCCTATGCTCCCATCTACTGGTTAAAGTGGTAATTTGATGTATTTTTTTAAAATAATTGTTTGATTACCACAAAATGTATTTGGTTATCCCATTAAAATAACTTTTAATTTGGATCATTTTTAGAGCTTTATAGTGTTATAAATAGTTGTGTTGTCATTAAAAAGGGCTTAAATTTATCTCTAAAAAATGGGTGTACAAACCCTGAAATTAATGAGGTAATATTTCTGTGTTTCCAAAACATTCCGGTTGTCTCTCGACAACGCTCTAACGTCACACGCAGATGGCAACGCAATCATGCTAACCTGCATCCTATCTCTACATCCTCTACTGCACCTCTTTCCTTCTCTGTGGGTCTCTGGAATTGTCAGTCAGCTGTCAACAAAGCAGACTTCATTTCTGCTTTTTCTTTACAATCCACACTCAGCATCTTGGGTTTGACTGAGACCTGGATTCGTTCAGAAGACTCAGAAACCCCAGCTGCTCTGTCTAACAATTTTTCTTTCTCTCACACCCCCCGTCAGGTGGGCCGGGGTGGGGGCACTGGTCTGCTCATTTCTAACAATTGGAAATACTCAACCCACTCTCCCCTATGGAATTATAACTAATTTGAATGTCATGCGATTACTGTAACAGCTCCTATAAAACTCCAGGTTGTGGTAATTTACCGACCTCCTGCGCAAATTCTAGCCACCTTCCTAGAGGAGCTGGATGGGCTGCTGTCCTCATTCCCGGAGGATGGCAGTCCACTTTTAGTCTTTGGCGACTTCAACATTCATCTGGACAAGCCTTACTGTGCGTTCACACCGCTGCCGGCAAGAGCATCAAAAATCGTTCTGGCCGCCCTGCCAACAGCGCTGTAGAAAGATTCGTGGACTCTCTGATGTAGATTGAATGCTTATCTTGTATTTAAGGGGGCCACAAAGCAAACAAGCTTGTTGATCTTGTTCAGGCTGACCACAAGGAGGGTAACGTTATAAGTTAACCTCATTAAATATTGTTGTGGATGAAGTATTAAGATAATTTACCTAATAATGTATAAAGCACTAATAGCACACTGTAAAAATACTTTGATACAAGTAAGAGTCCTGCATTGAAAATGTTACTTAAGTAAGTATAATCAGGTATAAACATTACTTAATGTAAGTATAATCAGGAAAATTTATTTAAAGGTTTAAAAGTGAACTGGGACTATTATACTATTATTTATTATATCATTAGATTATTATTACTATAACGTTAATGCACATCAGCAGCTCACCAGGAACACCAACAATCTCAGACACCTTGGTCCATACATCATTTTTTTTATTTATGTCCCTGTATGCAAACAGGGACATGTCGTAGATTATTGGGAAACCCGCCACAGCAATAATCAACCTCTCCTCCATTTTGCTTGGGAACTAATGTGGTCGGAACCAAAGTTTACAGGGCTGCGTTCTCTGAAATCCTCTCAAGCGGTGGACTTCTTCTTTTTCGATTGGTTGCCACCAAACCGCGTCATAGCTCATTACCATAAAGTTGAACTGATTTCAACTCTCCTCGACGCCCTCACCGTCCAAGATGCGGCGCTGCTCGCCGCCGGCTCACATTGAAAATTAATGACTTCCGGCCACTTTGCCACTCTCGACAGCGGTGGTATGAACGCATGGTTATGCTACAGACTTCCATTCACTCCTTGCTTCATTTGATCTCAAACGACATACCACTACAAGCACGCACAAATCAGGCAACCAACTTGACTTAATTTACACACGCAATTGTATTGCAGACAACATTTTGGTAAAGCCCCTACATATCTCTGACCATTTCTTCATTACATTTAAACTACCGTATTGGCCCGAATATAAGACGACCCTGATTATAAGACGACCCCCCTTTTTCCAGATGTACCTTTTGGAAAAAGGCTTTTTAAAAAACAAATCTTGTTTTTTCTCAGTAAAACACATTTTGTCTTCAATTATTTTCATATTGCATATTTTTCCTATTTTAATTTTTGTTTTGAAAGTATGATAAAAACTGGTAAAATGTACCAACAAATCACATTTAAAAAATATACACTTTTTGATATACCATAAAAAAAAAAAAAAAA